AAGCATTAACATTATAGCAACTTTTCATTTTATCACGATCTGATTTAGTATTTCTCGAGTAAAGTCATGGTTATATTTTTATTCTTCAGATGCACGAGAGCTCTTCCAACCATAAATCTCTCAGGACTTGTTGGAATGTTCAGGACCACTGTACCAGTAATAAAATTGAGATTTATTCCTAATAACTCCTGTTATGCTTATTTCACTTCTTGGTAGTACAAGAAACACCCTACCTGTTGTTACTGGTAGTTCAACCTCTGGTGTAGTGATTGAAATGCATAGGAATTCCTTAATCATAAATTATGATGCTATTTCAAGCTAACCTGGCCTCACATACATGTCACCACATGAAGTAAGTTCTCAACATGCACTCTTCTTTTATGTCAATTACTCACACATCATGAGGTGTAGAGAATCTTCCTACAATAAAAGTTAACTGTAACTTTATGACCTGCTCTTCTTTTTTCATCCCTGGAGGCAATTTACTGCCTATAATTAAAAAATCTGATCAAACAATTGTAGCTGTAGAACCATTGTCAGTCAACACACTGTAAGGTTTTCTAGCAATAAACCCGATGATTCATGGATGGTTTTCCCCCAAATAATGTACTCCTTATCTCATTTGGGGCAGATTGAGTATTCTCAGCTGAGCTTACCCCATATATACAGCTAATTCCTGTTTTCTTGATGTCTAGTTAGCTATTTGTTGTTCCTTGACGTGGTTAGGCTTTGTTTCCTTTGCTGATTAACACCTGTTGATTCCTTACAGTATCATTTGTAATGGCCACGTTTCCTTTTCTGATATCTTTTGGGAGTTCTTATTTCATACAGGCTTTTGTCTGGGCAACTTATCACGTGAAACATCTATTGTTTTGTGGCTTACATATGCCATTCTGTTTGACTAGTTGTCTAACTAATACTTTCAGTTCTTCTACACTATCACTGGGGAGGGTGTGATGTTTCAATACTACTCAATCTAATGACCCCATAACTTCTTATAGATGATGCCTTTAGTATTTTATCTGTGACTTTAATAGATTCAAGTTCCATTGCATTCTGGAGAGCTTCCTTTAAAGATGTGCACATACTTTGTTTCAACCTAATTCTCCTTTCCTCGTCTATTAAGGCATCTATAAATTGGTTGTGTTCCAATGAATCCATCATTTCACGAGGAGCACTCAGGTAAGATAACTGAGCAAGCCTTTTTAAATATTCTTCAGTTTTGATTAAGATATATATATTTTTTTCTTCATACCCTATTTCGGAACTTTGCTCTGGATACTTTCTTCTGGTGTGTCATTCTGAACATGTTGGAAAAGGCAGCTATCAACAGCTATCAATACTTGATAGTTGTTAAGGCTCTTGACTGGAATGTAGCCTAATGTCGTCAAAGCTGGTCCTTTTAAATGGTCGGCAAGTTTAATAGCTTAATGTTCAACCTTCCATCTAATCACACTGAAAACCATTTCAAACCGAGCTTGTTATGCCTCCCATGGTTCCTTTCCATCATAGTCCTTTGATTTCTTTATTGGGTGATGTTGTCAAACTGACAAGCTAAATTCTTGAACTTGATTTGATGTCATAGCTGAAGCAGTCAACAATGGTCCTACACTCACAGACCAAATACGTAAATGGTGTTAGAGGTTTGAATTCCGGGCAGATGCAGAAAGAAATGGTTGGTCTTATCATTGCATTTACCAGTTCATTCTCCAATTATTTTATACTGTAATTGATTTTCTTTTCTACCTGATTGGTATTGCTGCTATGATCTTTCGGCTCTTCGCAAAATATTTATGTACTTTCTCATTATTGTAGCTACACCCTTTTTGTACTTCTTCAATCTTGCTGTTGTAATTCCTCTGTATATCTTCAATAGCTTTATTGATCTATCTTCGATCAGACTTATTTTTGCTCTTAATTCTTCTTTAAAATTACGTCTCTTTTTTAATTCCTCTCTTAAATTCGCATCTCTTACCACATGATCTTTTTAATTTTATAAAAATTTCCTCTTGGTCTTCTTTATTTTTCTCTTCTTGGTTTTATTTTTCATTAACTTGCTTGATGGTGTTCTTTTAATTTTCCTTTCTCTTTCTTCTTGTTATTCTTTTATATTTCCTGTCTCTTTCTCCTTGTTATTATTTTATATTTCCTGTCTCTTTCTCCTTGTTATTATTTTATATTTCCTGTCTCTTTCTCCTTGTTATTATTTTATATTTCCCGTCTCTTTCTTCTTGGTCCTCTTTCCACAGTTTTATCATTTCCATCAGGTTTTTGATCTCACTTTTTGCCCAGGTTATCGCGTTAAAGTTTAGACAAAAATGAAGTTCTGTTTTATTTTCACCAAAGTAATCCCACTTCTGGCATCAGTCTTCTATCATTAGACGGTTTCTTTTGGATTATTTCATAAAAATAATATCAAGTCTAGTCCATATTATGATAACAAATTAGTTTCTTTCTTCTGTAAGATTTCTACATTATAACGCCCACATGGCTGAAAGGGCGAGCATGTTTGGTGTGACGGGGATTCAAACCCATAGATTGCTAGTCGAGCGGCCTAACCACCTGGCCATGCCGGGCCTTTAAAGAACTTTGTTTGTTTGTTTTTTATGGATTTCGCGCAAAGCTACACGAGGGCCCTAACTACCTGACCATGCCGGGCCAGAAACGTAAAAGCAAGAATATTGTATTGTTGTTGTTTTTTTCTCGCACAACAGACTTAAACCATCTGATACCTATAACTATGTTCGCTTTTCGGCCGTGTGGACGTTATGATGTTTCAGTCAATCCCCCTATTCGTTGGTAAAAGAGAAGCAACACATCTTCTCCATAAGCAGTTTCCTTTTACTCAAGATAAGAGGAAAGAACTTGTTACATGAAATGTCACTTATATTTACTATACCAGAATAAACCAGGTAAAAAGTAATAAAATAAATACTTACTAAATATAGGAGAAACTGTGTTTCCTATTACGCATCTAATAAGCTGTATTTAAAATAAGAACATTTTGCAAATAATTGGAAGACTTTTTTCAGTCTGAAAATTTTTGTTTCGTTAATATGATAATATTGTATCTCCTTGCTGGTTTATCAATATCGTAATATGTAAAGTAGTGGATATTCATGTCTCTTAGTTATTTTATGAAAATTGGAACTTTGCATTCAAATACAACACACGAAAATAAGAAATCAGGCACTAATAATTCACTCAGTATGCCACTACTGGTTACTAGAATCGAAGTAGTACAGCACAATTTAATGAGCCATAGTATATTCTTATTTGTTAATTAAAACTTGACCGACATTTTTTCAAGTTTTTTAAACTAAAGTATCACATATATTTATATTAATTTATCTTTTGAATCTTTGTTTGTTGATTGGTTGAATTTCGCACAAAGTTACACGAGAGCTATATACACTGAGTGGTCACAAGTAAATATACACCTAATTTTTCGTCATTTAACTGATTTATTAACTAATTTGAGGTCACAGAGCACTATATAAATGAACATGGTCCACACACTAATTATCTTGTGCTACAACATGCCTAAAACTCAAGGTTCTCTCGAATTGTCAGATTTTGTTAGAGGAAGGTTAGTTGGTCAAGCAGATGGTAGAATAAGTCAGCGGCAAATTTCGCAGAATTTGGGAATCCCGCTTTCGACAGTCAACAGAATCATCGTGCAGTTCAGGAAACACGGCAAGGAAGCAATAGAGCAGCGTCCGGGTCATCCTGGTACATTGGAGAGGACAAAAAGGGCTGTCAAGAGGAGCATCGAAATGGATCCCAGATTAACGACTGCAGAAGTGGCCAAAGTTGGTGGGATGAGACCGAAATCTGTTCATCGGATTCTCCACAGATTGGGTTATCGTTGCAGAGAAGCTAGACAGAAGCCCTTATTAAGACCTGCCGAATTACGTCAGTCAGAGACCAGTAAGCTGGATAATTTTATGGTAAGTTAAGGTAAATTAAGGATGTGTCTTTGGAAGAGCACAGGATTCCTTTCGAGTCCACTTCCAGAGGACCATCAAGGATAGTCACCGAGAAGAACTTCCCCTGAGTGACATTACAGCAGTTGATGACAAAGGACAAAATGCCATTCCATCTGTATAGCATAATCCTCGTAAAAGAAAAACCCCTTAAAGACTTGTCAAATGGGCAGCTTAATGTACTGTTTTATTTGTGAATTAGGTTATTCAAGGGACATCGGAATATAGGAAGTTGACAGTGCTGTAAACTATATTTCAACATTATAATTTAGTTGTTTACTAGAGAAAGCTGTTATTCATAATGATAATGTGTTACCTAGAAAGTT